TGATGTGATATTCTTAAATCTTTTTACAGTGATTAACAAACTCCTTCAATTCGCTTGTTGCTGCATGACTTGGTATTGCATTTCTTATTGATATGAAATGTAGTGAAATATAATAAATATAATACAGAAATAACAAGAAATAGATGGAAACTAAATCGTCTATAGGTGAACAAAATTTTCATATTGAATCACGAATTTAAAGACTACGTGATTTTTATCACATCCAAATTTATGTTTCACGCTTTGTTGCTTGATACATATTACCTTTCTATGTAGGCAATATCATATGTGATCAACGTGTAACTTACTTATTGAAAGATCAAACTAAAGAATATAATGAGTAATCTTACGAGAGTTCGCGATGAAAATTGTCCTGCTGATGACAAGCCTAGATTTCTGTCCTGTCTAAAGGCATATTGGGTGAGCACTATTTAGCTTGAAGATTTTATAATCTTCGTCCCTGCTTGTTACATATCAGAGTTTAGCAGCTTTATATTCATTTTTAGAAAATATGTTATATAAATATCAAGCTTTTGTGTGTTCTACTTTGGCTATTACTGATTTTCAATATGGTAGTGAATTTTATTTCAAATTTTCTATGTAATTATGTTACTGTAATTTTCTTATTTATTAATATTGTAGTGATTGTATCACCAGGACTTATATACACAGTGTATTTTTATGAGCAAATGTTACTTACTCGTTTGTTCTACTTTCTAGCCGGAACTGCCAGAAGGGTGCACTCAAGATGATGCTTATATGGGTGGTAGCGATGTGGAAGGAGAAGGAAAACAAGTTTTGGTTGGAATATGTGCAATGGCGAAGAAATCGCAGAGTAAACCGATGAAAGAGATTTTAACAAGGCTTGAGGAATTCGAGTATATAAAAATTATTGTTTTTCCGGAAGAAGTGATATTGAAGGTAATATATATATTTATTGTAGAGAAGAGAGTCTATGTTATACAAAATATACATCTTATGTGTCTGTTCTTGTTTATAGGAACCTGTAGAAGATTGGCCTATAGTTGACTGCTTGATAAGTTTCCATAGTAAAGGTTTCCCTCTTGATAAAGCTATTAATTATGCGAGTTTACGTAAACCGTTTATTATTAATAACCTTCCAATGCAGTATGACATTCAGGTGTGTACTTTTGATATTTCAAAATAGTCTCTAATATCTTTGCATATTATATATATAAATCATATTACCAAGAAAAATTATCATAGGATCGAAGAAGAGTTTATGCTATACTGGAGAGCGAGGGTATCGAAATTCCACGGTATGCCGTTCTTGATCGAGATTCGCCAGATCCGAAACGTAAGTTGTAAAATTTATTTTGATTGGTTATAAAAATTATGCATTGTAAATACTTGTTTTTCAACAATTTAGAGTTTTTAAATTGAATAACACACACACATTATGATGTATCCAAATAAGTTTAGAAACTCTTGTTAAATATACATATATTCAGTTTTTACGTATACAGAATATAGAATGTATTTCAGAGCACGAATTGGTAGAATCAGAAGATCATGTAGAAGTGAACGGTATTACTTTCAACAAACCATTTGTGGAAAAGCCAGTATCCGCCGAAGATCATAATATATATATTTATTACCCTACTTCCGCTGGTGGGGGCAGTCAGAGATTATTTAGAAAGGTATTATCTTTTCTCAAGCTAAATATATAACAGATTTCTTATATGCAAATTTATAGGAAGCAAGCGTTATTTTCTTAAATGGAAAGAATTGAAAATTTGTGTAAATATACAAATATACTTATGATAATATCTGTTCATTATACAGATAGGTAGTCGTAGTAGCGTATATTCACCAGAATCTCGCGTTCGTAAGAGTGGATCTTATATCTATGAAGATTTTATGCCTACCGATGGTACTGATGTTAAAGTTTATACCGTGGGACCTGATTACGCTCACGCCGAGGCAAGAAAAAGTCCGGCTCTAGACGGAAAAGTTGAGAGAGATTCGGAGGGCAAGGAGATTCGTTATCCAGTGATATTAAGCAACGCCGAAAAACTTATTAGTAGGAAAGTATGTATGGCCTTCAAGCAAACGGTTTGCGGTTTCGATTTATTACGGTATGTATGAGTATAAGTAATCACTATCAATTATGCATGTATTATAATCAGCATTAATTATGCAAAAAATTAAGCCATCTTTTTCAATTATTTTTTTATAGATAACGATAAGTGTTTTGCGTGCATTAAAAGATATATTCTCCTTATGTAAATTTCTTTTGAATATGTGCGATGTTACTAAGATATATGTTACGTTATATACGTCGATAATTATCGATGTAATTATCAATGTTATTTTAGAATGTGTATCGCGTTACATATTCAATAGCTTTGACTTTCGTTGCGACACTGGCTTCAGTTGGGCAAGCAATATTGATTCCGCGAATATATCGCGTTTTCTCGTATAAATGATTGAAAGTTAAATGATACAATTGATACAAGAAGTATGGTTTTACTTGTAGAGCGAACGGTCAGTCGTTTGTGTGTGACGTAAATGGATTTAGTTTTGTAAAGAACTCGAATAAGTATTATGATGACTGTGCCAAGATTTTGGGAAATATGATACTAAGAGAATTGGCTCCTACATTACACATTCCATGGAGTGTTCCTTTCCAATTGGATGATCCTCCTATTGTCCCAACCACATTTGGTAAAATGTTAGTATAATCGTAATTCAACACTATAACTAGTAATGTTATTAATATCAAAGTATATTATTAATTTTGGTAAATATTTATTTATAGGATGGAATTGCGCTGTGTGGTAGCAGTTATTAGACATGGTGATAGAACTCCAAAGCAGAAAATGAAAGTAGAAGTGCGTCATCCAAAGTGAGTACAAAACATCTGATATATATCGACTATTTTTATTAAGAAATATTAAAATAAATGTAATATCTTACAGATTTTTTGAGATATTTGCAAAGTATGATGGTTACAAGCATGGCCATGTTAAGTTAAAGCGACCCAAGCAGTTGCAAGAGATTCTTGACACAGCTCGTAGTTTATTAACAGAAATACAGCATCGTGCAGCGGGACCCGAGCTAGAAGAGAAGCAAGGGAAATTGGAACAACTCAAGAGTGTCTTGGAAATGTATGTATCAATCAACAACAGTATAGTGGAAAAACTGTAATCAATCTCTTAGTGGGACTATTATTAATATTATATATAATTGAGCAAATTGCATGTATGATAAATTTGTAATAAGATTATTAATTGCGCATTGTATAGGTATGGACATTTTTCTGGCATAAATCGTAAAGTACAGCTAAAATATCAGCCGCGAGGACGACCGCGAGGAAGTTCCTCCGACGACGGTAGCGATCTTAGTATGCCACATTTATTTTCTAACTATATTATATATGATTATATATGCACTATATTGCATATATATTTTTCAAATAGATATATTTTAATACAGAAAAATATATAGGTTTAATATAGATAGATTTGAAAAGATTTAAAAGATTTTATGTGTATAGAAATATGCATATCTTTTTTTCTCCCTTTAGATCGACTAGGAGAACCGTCCCTCGTTCTAATATTGAAGTGGGGCGGAGAATTGACGCCGGCTGGACGTATTCAAGCGGAAGAGCTGGGACGTATATTTCGCTGCATGTACCCAGGTGGTCAAGGTAGACACCTTAGTGGTTCGTATCTTATGTTCATATGTTTGCCATGCTCGCTTTTAAGTTTCTACACAGTATTGGAGATCATTTTTCTACGTCAACTTTCCTCTGTTAGCTGAATTTGATCTAGGTCTTTATCCTATATATATATATATATATATGGATTTTATAATCTAAAAGTCTCTAAGCTTTTAGTACGCATTAATATCAGTTGTACCTTAAGAAAGCTACTTTGTACAAATTGCAAAAATATTGGACTTAAAGTTCGGCGTGTTATTATTGAAATTGGATTTTGAAATATTATTATATATAATTTCACTGTATTTTGTATCGTAAGAGATTCACAAAAACTACTCATATGAATAATTTTAACACCAAGTTTAACAAAAAAATAATTGCCAGTGTAGCGATCGCTGTGGCACTAACAATCGTATTGGCAATCATATCTTAATAGTTAGTAGTAAAATGTAATAATTACATTCTCTCTCTCGAGTCACATATAGGATAATTCATCTCAAATGTTATTTCAGAGGAAGAATCAGAGATGTTACCAAACTACGGTAACCTTTTATTTACGATCCACGCTTATTTCATAGTTCTTTATAGATTATATTGCTGTCTTTAGAAATAGCAATGTTATGATAGAATCGGCGGCGTTAACAGTAAGAGTACAGTTGCACAATTTTGTATCTTTTTATTTGAATACTCGATTCAACTGCCATTTGATTCAGCGAGACGAATTCTTGGCAGTTTAAAGAGTTGCATGGTTTTAGCATTGTACACTATGCTAATTTGATTTTGCTTCTTCTACATGCTGATGAATGTTTCTTTGTTTTTAATGGCACTACAACACTATAACACATTAAACGTTATTTTATTTTTCATACAAGACACATATTATATGCACGCACTATGTACAATATGTTTCTCTCAAAATGTAATTTTTCATTAAAAATTACATTATAATAGCACTAGGAGAGTTTTAAGGTAACTGTAAAATATTTAAAGACATGAAAAATTTCTTATGGTATCTTTCGCGTTGTAATACAATATATAATATAAATTATAATATCACAATTAATACATCTATTTTACGATAATCTCGATGCCATAACTTCGATAGGTTAACAATCATTTTTGACAATAATCTCTGAATTATTGTTTAATTGTTGTTGCATTCTCTGTAATTATTGTTATATCTCGAGGAATCTCTTCATTATGTTGATATCATTCCCTTTGCGTTAAAACATAGGTGAATATGCAGGTGCGCAAGGATTGGGTTTGTTACGTCTGCATTCCACATTTCGTCACGATTTGAAGATTTATGCTAGCGACGAGGGACGCGTTCAAATGACTGCGGCAGCTTTTGCAAAAGGATTGCTCGCATTAGAAGGAGAGCTAACGCCCATTCTCGTACAAATGGTGAAAAGCGCAAATACCAACGGCCTTCTGGACAACGATTGCGATAGCAGTAAATATCAGAATATGTGAGTAAAGAGATTTTTATTTTCGTGCCTAAAATAAATGAATTCTAACTTTTGCTCTACATATTCGCGACGTTTATCATTACAGGGTAAAAACGCGTTTGCACGAACTGCTTCAACAGGACCGGGAATTCACCCGCGAAGATCGCGAACAGATCAATCCGGGAAACGCGTTGAGCATCAACGCCGCTTTAGATCTCGTCAAGAATCCAGTCCGATGTTGCCAACATGTTCACATTCTCATTCAAAAGCTTCTGGATATTGTACGAATTAAGAAGGAAGATCCGAAGACGAAGGACACGATACTTTATCATGGTGAAACGTGGGAATTGATGGGACGTCGCTGGGGAAAGATCGAAAAAGATTTCTGCACGAAAAACAAACGCTTCGACATCTCCAAAATTCCCGACATCTACGATTGTATAAAGTATGATTTGCAGCATAACAATCATACGTTGCAGTTCGAACACGCGGAAGAATTGTACACGTACGCTAAATCTTTAGCCGATGTAGTAATTCCTCAGGTATAATTTATTTTCGCCACTAATAATAATAATAATTCTATTAACGATTTTACATGCGAAGTACATATGTTGTATATTAATGTGCAGGAATATGGTCTGACGGTACAAGAGAAATTAACCATTGGCCAAGGTATATGCACGCCCTTGTTGAAGAAGATACGAGCAGATTTGCAACGAAATATTGAAGAATCTGAAGAGACCGTCAATAGGCTTAACCCTAGGTATTACAATCGAGTTTTATTTTCAGAGATCTTTTTCCTAGCTTATATACTTTCTTTAGTAAATGATAATTAATGCGATCTCTCCATAGATATTCCCATGGTGTTTCGAGTCCTGGACGCCATGTACGTACAAGGCTATATTTCACGAGTGAGAGTCACGTACATTCTTTGCTTACCGTGTTGCGTTATGGTGGTTTACTCGATGTAAGTAATATGCTAGAGCTGAAAAAAATCTTATTTTATTTTATTTTTTTCTAATTTTTGATATATCGATTTATAGGTGGTGAAAGACGAACAATGGCGACGCGCGATGGAATATGTCAGCATGGTCTCCGAGTTGAACTACATGTCGCAAATTGTCGTTATGTTGTACGAGGATCCGACCAAGGATCCGAGCAGCGAAGAACGTTTCCACGTTGAGTTACATTTTAGTCCTGGCGTTAATTGTTGCGTACAGAAGAATCTGCCGCCTGGCCCTGGTTTCAGACCACATTCGCGCAACGAGAGCAGTCATAATATAGTAAGCGAAGATTCTGAATTATCTGGCTGATGTATTAAAAATAATAATACAAATAAATTAATTTTATATTGACCTTTTTTTTTCAAGGGAGAAAGCGGTTCTGGCCAGGACACTAGTTCACAATGTAGTACTCGGATAGAGGAAGAGGATGCGGAATTGGGAATTATCGAGGATGATCTTGTAAATCCTACAGCGCGAACTGTAAGTGGTTTACATCACATAGTTAAATTTTCAACAAGTGATAAATTGTATGAGATTTATTAATCACTTCAAATATTTTTGCGATGTGAAAATTTACTTCTAGAATACATCTCCGCCGCTAATGGAAACGGATGCTACGGACTCTATGTTGGACAGTCCGACGACCAGCCGTGCAATTGACATGATGGACCTAGACCCGAATATGATGGACGAACCGTACGATAGTGGATTCTTACAAAGCTCGGCTCCGATTCCCATCAGGTTTGTTTGCGTTGAGTGTTTCTATATTTCAATGCAAACATTTTTCATAGATAATAATATCTAAAAAATTATTTTATTTGTGTTACCGTACGTGCAGCGCTAGAACCGTGGCCGGACATGAAGCCGCTAGGCTTGGTAGCCAGTTGGCAGCGAGTCAACGACAACGGCGAAGCAGGGAGGCGGGGACCATCATGGAACCGCGCGCGCGAAGCTACGATCATCAGCGGCAAGAGAAGCCCGAGAAAGGTAAGTGCGCTTTATTGAATGCAAATTATATGTATCAGTGAGCAGATTTGCGATAGATTCTGAAATAAGTGTGAAGGATGCTAATAATAAATCGAGCGATATGTTAACTTGTCGAGATGCAATGTTAACATTTTAATTTGCTGTGTGTGTATGTGTATATGTATACGAGTGCGCGCGAATACATGTACACATGCACACGAATTTACGTAATGTGTACATAGATATATTTATACAGTATCCTTAACACGTTAATGGTTTGTGCATGATTATAATTATTAATTGTTATATTCGGATTTTTTTTTTCCTTTATATATACTTGGATAGAACCAGTTATCAATATTTATAGTATGCTATATATGAATGCTTCCCTTTCAAATTATGTAACGGCTCCCTCTCTACCGAAATTGTATAACAGCTTCATACCATGAAATTATATTTTATCACAAAATAAATTCTATGTTAGTAACAATAGTAAAATATATCGGAATTTTTATACCATATTTAGTATTCGATATTCTAAATTGATGAATCGATAGTTTGATACGGATAATTATATAACTTATATAATAGTTGAAATTGTGTGTGAAATATCAATTTTTTGGAATATTTATGAATTATTCTGAAAGAAATATATCAAACAAGATACCGGTTTATTCATCTAAATTTCAAGCTATTAGAATTGTAGCTTTGATATTTCTTGTTATCTATTGAATAAGTGAAAATAGAGATTATAATATCGCCAACTTATACTATTTTTTTACATAATATCATGTGTAGATAAATAGGATTTGGTGTGCCCAAACGATAGTACTAGGGATATCTCTGTCTTCTTTTCGAATAGTATGCCATTTCGCATAATGAGCAAAAACATAATGACGTTGAATTTAACATGTATTAACATTGAAATTGTTGGACACGCGTAGAGCTTTTAGGGCTAATTACTGGCAATTGAAATGATGGCGGAACGTTGCCACAGTACTTTTTTTCTGTGTTCTGCTATCTTTTTTTGTAGCTGCGGACAAGCTGCAGTATCAGAGCTTGGACGCGGTCAACAAGGAAGGTATGTTCATCGGCCACCAATTTTAATACAGAATGATTCTTCAAGATAATTCACAAATGAATATTCTTGAAATGATACTTTAATGATTCTTCTTATTTGCCATAATCGAGTAGATCATTCTACTTACTCTTTCTTTTTTAAATACGATCTCTTTTTTTATTTTTATTACTCATATGCATACGTTGCAATGAAATAATTCCCTATAATAGACTAGTGCGCACTGGTTAATCTCATACCTTGGCAAATGTAGCACAATTCTGATATGAAGCAGATCATTTTACGGATTTTTAGTTTCGTTGCAATTAGAATGTGCATAGTAGTTGGACAATATATCGGTACCAGAATGCGCTTCACACACACATTGTCGGTACTTCGAAGTGCTGATTAAAGTAACTCTTTCACGCCTTACGTATATCTCGTAGCTGGTAGTCTGTGATGTATCTCATCCCTTCCTCGATAAATTAATTTTCTGTATATTTTGTCTACAAATTAATTTCTCACGATATGTTACAGTTTACATTCATCGATATTTCATTACTTTTATTTGAATCAGTTCTGCAAAAGTATATCGCACGTACTCTCTGTGTAGACAAGAGAAAAATTGGTATCATTTTTTAATGGCTAAATCTTTAGGATATATACCGGACAAAGTGCCGAAACACGGTCTGGTTAATCTATCCGGTGGGGCGATCTATCCGGAAAAGTTTCTAATGTATCTTGTTTCATATAGTTTAGCCGAAAGAGATGTGTATTTTGCCGAAAGCCAAAATAGGAGACGATGAGTTCCCAGTTGAAATAACTCTTTGCTCAGCGATAGTTGTGCGCGTGGAAGCCAACTAATCAAAATATATCGGCGACTGTCCGGGTCACACGTATACACATGTAGCGTGTGATCCATTCAGCCAGCCATCCCAAATCCTAGATCCCAAGATCGTAGCATCATCATCATCATTATCATCATCATCATCATCATCATCATCATCATCATCATCATCATCATCATCATCATCATCATCATCATCATCATCATCATCATCATCATCATCATCATCATCATCATCATCGTCGACTCTTTACAAGTCTCGGAAAGATTCATGCGTATTACACGCATAAATACACGCATATAATCATATGCTTGTATACTGGAACCACTTTCGAAATACTATTTAATTTCATCAATATCGTCGAATTTTTCTTAATGAAGAGTAATATCGCATCAAACCTCAGTTATCATTCTCAGCATCTTTTTTTTTTTTTATATCCGCACATTTCTGCATACATTTCATCTCACATAAGTTCATCGTCATTATGTTTTCATCTTTCATTGCTTCCACTTTCATTGAATTTCTTCCGAATCTTTCTATTGATATTTCTTGCTTCTGAATAAACAGCTCATAAAGCGTATGACATCTTCATTTCGGTTTTTTTTTTTTTTTATTTGTACATGATTCATAAAAAAAACGCATTAAAAAAGAACTCGGATCGACATACAGACATACACACACGTTGATATACCGTATCTTTCTGTTGTATCATCACGATCGTATACTAATACCGTTCAAGCTTTGGCATTCTAATAAATGTCAGAGTATATATACGAGGCAGTCTTAAGTGTAAAAAGTCGTGTCGTGTGGTTTGGTTGGCTTACTGGTTGCATGGCTATCGTGTGCCACGGTTGTTGTATTGTGTGCATACTCGTGAATCTGACATACTATAGCTATATAAACTATACGCGAAAAGGGTGTCGAAGGTATACACTTTTCTTAATTTACTTTATTTCTCTTTCTCGGTGACGAATCTTTATACGACACATCATAATAATTTAAATATCTAAAACATAATAATTGTAGTATTTTCTCAATTATTCAAGTATTTTTCGTTTAATGACAAGATTATTAAATTGTTATTTTGATTAACACACATACAATATGTAATAGAGTGTAACCTTCTTCAAGTTAACAAAATTTATATTATGTATATATATTTCAGAGATTATTACTCTTAATACATATCTTACATATTAATTTCTGAATTGTTCACAGAAAATCTCCATAAAAAAACACGCGTACACAAAGAAAGCGTAAACGAAACGTGTTTCATTACAAACTGCATTCTTGTAATATTGATAACGCTTGAATTTTTTATCGCATAGCAAGAATACAGCATCATTGATCCAAAAATTCGTCCCGCTCTTCGGTAAATTGATTTTTTAATCGGCTCTTTCTCTCTTTTGTTTTTTTTTTCTCCCTTTCCTCTCACGACGTCGTCATTCACCGAATGCTGCGCCGTATACCCCTCTGATAACGCTATCACCTGGATCTATGCTGCGCATTTTGCATCCCTCTCTTCCTTTCTACGTATTGCATCGTACCGCACCGCATCGCATCGCACCGCACCGCACCGCATCGCATCGCACCGCATTCATTATCAGCCACAAAGCCGACTCCTTCGGTGGAATCTCGACGCGACGAACTGCCGAGGAAACCGGTGTCCCTGTCGCAGTCGTACAGCTCGCCGGAGCTGCCGGTCTCGCCGAACGAAAGTTTCGCTTCCTCGTGCTCGCTTCATAATGCACGCGACGATAAAGAGCCACCACCGGTCGTCCCTTGCTCGTTGCTCAATCCGATCCCCAGCAACGAGCGGACTGTCACCAGGTATCGGAGTCTCGGCAGAAAATACGAACGATCATACTCCGAGGTGACTTTGCTCTCGAGACCCTTCGAATTCTACGGTGAGTCCAAGAAAACGATAAACGCGAGATGACGAGGAGACCATTGTACAGAGTGACGTACGAAAAAATTGTCTAGTCTTATAGTGTAAATGTCAAATACATGAGTATTTTACTGAGAATAAAAGAGTAAATAAATATCTATATACATATATATAGTGGCGATGGAGAATAGCTTCGCGCTTTTGAATTGGTAAGTAACATTTAAAATATAATGTTAAGGTGTATTTTAAAAATTTTTTATTACTCTTTAAACTCTTATTTGCACTAACATAAATTTTATACGATTAGATTATTTTTTCGTATGTTTTACTCTGTACTATCCGTAAATTTAATATCGGATTCAGCAAACGCGGAGAAACTTGATTTATGAAATTAATGTGAAAGTAATCTCACACGTGAATTGTCATATCTTTTTCTGTTATAATACCATAGTTTAAATCTAAATCTAAATTATATTGTCATCTCTCTCTTTTTTTTAATAAATTATTACATAAGTAATGCGAGATGAATTAAATGAAATTAAAATTATAGAAAGGAACAGAATATTTACTGTTATATAAATGGTATAACAAATTCTGCACATATTTGCAAATTTCAGTTCTGTATGAATACGTGATTTGTTCGATCAACTTAATTTTTTTTTCGTCACCTTTTTTCGTCTACTATCGCCAATTTCTATTCGTCCAATAATTTCTTTTTCCGTGTGGATCATTCCCATTAATTAAAGTTTATTGAGCTTTAATTCTAATCCTCTGTTTTTTTCTTAATCTGTTTACAGAAAAAGACAGAAAGAAATTATTGCTTAACATTCAGATTTATGGGAACGATCTTATGTTCACTAGCCGATTCGCTTTGCTCGTTACTGCCCTATCTTCCTCTTTACTGGTATTTTTTTAAAACGCGAGCACGAATGCAAGCACGGGCACGAGCACGAGCACGAGCACGAATCTGTCGTGACGAAATCTAGAGCTTTATTACGTAGCCGATCTTTACGGCTTTAATAAAGATGCACTCTTTACTTATATAACAATTTCATGGCGTTCACCATTATCACCACCATCAATACCAATCCACGAGATTAATCGTTATCATTGTCCGGAAATGTCTTTCAACGTCTGACTATCCTTCGTCCGTCCAGATACCCGCGTCCTGGAGCCTCATTCCTCTTCTCCTCCCCTAGACGCGCGACCTCGGATCATTCAACCTGATCCTACCTGCACAGCACGGCGCCACCGACACAGTATCTCCGGACAGATGAGTTATTTCAAGCTGTTGGGCTACAATGTCAGCAAGAAGCTCACCGGCTCGGCTAACAGTCTCTTCAGCACTGCCGTGATAAGTGGCTCATCAAGCGCGCCGAATCTCAAGGATATGGTGCCACCGCATGCGTCCGCAGTCGCCGGTGAGTAATTAGCGAATACTCGACATCTATGTGTGTGTTATATTTAAATAATATTTAAGAATTTTAATATCATAGAATGATTCCGGGATAGATGGTATTAGACTTTTGTAACGCACAGCTTTTGCTAAAATTATTTGAAATACGTTGAATTTTATTCGAAGTAACCCAAACTTTCCTATATACACAATAATTCGATTCGCAAATGAATAATAGTAAAAATCTCTATACGAATAATGAAATAAAATAATGGAAATAAATAAGCTAAAATATAATGGAACATAGAAATAATTTTTATTTTTTACCGATAGCGATAGAAGGTTTCGGCGGGGTGCCGCCTATCAGACCCCTGGAAACTTTGCACAACGCATTGTCGCTACGTCAACTAGATTCATTTCTGGAGATGATGACGATCGCGCCGTTGTACCGGACTCCGGCCTCGTCACCGCCCAAGTCATCGCCGGCCGGATCGACGCACGAGTCTCTCAATCCACCCCTTGGCAACACCGGGATCATCCGCGAGTATCACTCTTCGGATACGGAAGCTGTCAGGTATCATAAAAAATTACAAGTCTATAAGTATATATATCGACTTTCTTCCTTTTCACATGACTCGCGAGTTTCACTTCCCATTGTATTTTGAATAAAATCATTTCTTTAAACTTGTTTTGCATTTCACGATTTATGTACACACGAAAATAAGTATTTCATTTTTTTCCTTTACAGATATTACCTAAATTTGATCTAGAATTTATAGATATTATATTTTATTATTCGATTGCTATAGGAATCATATGCGCGCACTACGGCAGGCTTAATTTTCGTATAAGTGTATTACTACATTATTATCTCACAGGTACATTACGCCGGCTTCGATACAGTATAAGCCCGGGGAAGTGGAAGCGTGTGACATCAGAAATATGCCATCGCCTACCAGTCCGAACAGTGCGTATTCATCTTACAAGTTGTGTGTGATGATAATATCAATATTACTTTAATAATCTTTATGCATTATTTAGGTATAGGATGGAGTAGCGAACCGCAATCTTTTCTATCTTCCGAGCCATCATCACCAGCGCCAACGTCGACAGGCGAATGCAGTATGTCTATAAGCTTGATCAGTAACGAGAGGTGAGTCTTAAAGTACATTTATGTGATTTATTTTTTCCTAATTTGATATCTTCATTCCTTTTATATACCGAATTAATCTGGTTGCGATTAACTCTTAATCTCGTTTGCATTTTGCAGATATGTTAACTTTATATTACTGTATATTTATCTATAATTGTACTCTCGTTAAACTTATTTTACGTCTTTCCTATAATATCTTATTACTAATAGTAGTTTAATACTAATAGTACTAAATAAATAGTACTAAATGTCCATTTCGAAACAACGTCTCTCCATTCGCAGCGCTCAACTCTTTATCCCGCCAAAATTCTCCCCGACTTCTTGCCTGGACGTCGATTTTAACGAATTTTGTATGCGTCTCGATCAAGAGAATCGAGAAAGTCGCGGCAGTGTCTCATATACGGATTATTATAGTAACGAGGACGGTCAGATACGCAAAATCACGCAGATGCCGCAAGTGATGCAGTCAGGTGCCAGCAGCGCGCAACCGAAGCTTGTATGTAGCGATGAGTTTACCTGCGAAAATATCGACGACGATGAAGATCACACGCTAACCTTGAAACAAAGCGAGGAGCAAAAGAAACAAGACGTTAAATCGATATTCGAGCAAAAAGATAATGTTAATCCTGTGAAGCAGCAGCTAAGCGGCAGCTATAAGAAAATTGGACGGTAGGAAAAATCCGGAACACCCAATTATATAATAATGTAGTTAATATTAAAGTGAATATACACTTATCGCTAATATCATCATTTGCTTATTCTAGCTTCCTAGTGGAAAGTACGGATATATCGCACGCTGATGTCAGAATTAAGGAAACCGATAATGCTTCCGACAAAACAAAACTTACCACCCAAAAATCTGATTTTTCAAGCGCGGCAAGATCTCCCGCGAGGAAGGATTCCAAAAAAAGCAGCGGCTCGCACAACACTTGTCAGAAGCGGAAAAACTTCTCGCGCTCTCAAAGCGTCACGGCTCCAAAGTCCGTCGTGCCGAAACCTGAGCCGAGTTTTAGTTATTCAAGACAGAGCTCTTTCTCGACCATGTCGGACGCGGATTTGGAAAACTGGAAATTGAACATAGATTCGACACTGTCTTCGGAAAAGAGCCAACAAGAGGAACCTGTACTCACTGTAGCCAGCAGTCTCACGGATAGCTCTAACATAACCATGGGCTTCGACATTAAACAGGAAGAAAAGAAATAAATATTCGGTAACAAATTAATGTACCGATTTTTCTTTTCATGTCCATGATATTCGATCTATTCTTACAACGTAACATCACGATATCAGACCTTTAGAAAAGATAGTTTATCTTTCCCATAAACTACCATGAGAAAGATATTAAAATATTAAAAATAGCATTTAGCACAGGACAAGAAAGTTATTTTGGTGTTTTATAGCATTCTTTGTTAAGGCTGATAAAAATAGGCAAGCAAGACTTCATTTAGAGTGAATTATACGATAGTGACTTTATCCGCCCACCCCTTCCCTTTTATTTTTTATTTTGTATAGTATTATAAGATGAGATTTATTAAATTAAATAAACATTATATATTATTTCTGTTTTAATTCGGAGAACAGTTATTAATTTTTGAAATTGTGTTTTGTGACTTACAAAAATATTTTTTATTTATGCGGATAATATAATTACGTTGATTGATCTTTTCGTTAAAGATAAAAAATAATGAGCATGAATAATAAACATTCGATTTAAAATTCTATGGATTTTATAAAAAAAATCAACAAATTATTTAACTGATAACAACAAAATTAACTTTTCAATCTCATATTTTACCTGCAGCGCATTCTGTTTTAATTTCTAATTATGATTTAACCATTTTATATAATGCATATATTTTAACGTAAAGATAATTCTTTACAAGTATTTACTCTAAAAAGAATTGAAAGTCATGAATTTTTAATCAACAAATAACATAGATTGACGATGCAAGTTTGATTGCTTATGATTTTAATAAAAATCTTAAGCAGATAATGTTTTCTGGAACAATATTTTTGATTAGGATCATCGCTGTTGACTGTGAACCATCGTAATTACGCATAGAATTATCTCTTCTTCTGAAGAGATTATTGCAGATGTACAAATGCTCTAATAATGTAGATAAATATGGCGATTATGTGATAGATGTGCTTCAATTAAATATAAGGAATATATCACTAGTATTTCAGGATATTAGAATATATATCTATAAAGGAAAAGATACAGAGAAAAAGAAATATGTGATTACCAATATTACTAAAGATAGAGAAAGATGTGTAAAAATGTATACTTACTGGATATAGCATGTTCTTATTTAAAAAATTAAAAGATCCCTGTTACAATAACACTAATTAATAATACTGATGTAAATTAATAGTCAGATGCTTGAAGTTACCGAAGTTGTAGGAGAATTTTCCGAGCCAAAGAATACCTCGGTTAAGCAATATAGTATTGTTTGATGTTACACGAAAAAAAAATCGTGTACTGATATACTTGATATATGATTTCAAATAATAAATTAACAAAGAGAATATATAATAGGAACTATATGTAGATATTAATACGTGTAAAATAGAGATACAAAATATACGTAGGTGTATACTCATACATAACACATACATATCTATATTACACAAATGTTTTAATAAAATAATTCAGAATGAAATATTCGGTGAGTCTATTTTTCCTAATATATGTTTAATTAATAATTGATATTTTTCATTATCTTATTCGATAATTTAAACTTCATATTGTTTAATAATTCATTCTCTATTTTTCACAGATATATACAAATAGATAAGAATTTAATTATATTATTTGAAAGACGTAAGAATTTGTAGTAAAAAAAAAATGGAAAAATACAATATACAAATATGATTTTTAAATTTTTCGTATATAGTTATATAAATTATAAATATAATTATGTATTGCATAACTATATAGATATATATTATTGATATTTAATTTTTCAATACTCGTTATATCGGTGCTAGCGGGACTCGTATTTTCTTATGACAAACTTCGTTTTTGTTTGCACAGAAATAACGTCGCAACTCGGCAACAATATCGTCGGCGATTTTACGGCGATTATTTTTGATACTTCCTGTCTATAATTGGTTTCACGTCAAATCAAAACGCAGAGTCAATTTGCGATTTCGGCGGACACGTGCTCGCCTCTTGTGTCCTTTCGAGGGACAGCCAGCATATTGTTCACGAACGGCAGAGCGGTCGGTTCGATCTTTCGGAGCAAATTCTAGGGGTGTGTTTCACCCCTGAATCAATTAAATAGATATTAGCCGTGTCACTTGACGCGGTAAGTGAAAGAGAGAGAGAGAGAGAGAGAGAGAGAGATAAAGATCGCCGCTTACAACGAGTGCGTATAAACATCGCGCGTCAAATCGGATCCCGTGTTTACCCCCGAAGTGACTTCGACGAGGGGGGTGCATAAAGGTTATTAGTTATGCCCGGCGCATCCCCCCTTCGTCTCGCAATATTTCCTCGCCCTTAGAACGCTCTAATTACGTCGTGTACAGCTTCTCCCAATTCTTTTTTTCTTCGAGATCCCTCTGTATTTTCGCCTCGCAGCAACGCGACGCTGACGAATGGCTTTACGATTAATCAGTCGACGTTTCAATTTTTGCTAGAAGTACAAATATGTCGTTTGCATATCTAAATGTTTTGCAATGAATTTTTTTTTTTTTTTTATTCTAGTAGATAATAAACGTTTCGACGTTAAACGATTCTTACATAATATGTAACTTATGTAATAACTTTTTCATATAAAACTATTTTTTCAATAAAAATTGCAATAAAAATTCGAACCGTGAATAAATTGCGTAATATCGCGTGAAATATTTGATAAACGGAATAACTGAATCTATATATAGGATTGTAAGCTCGCATAGAGAGCGACGTGGATGTTTAATACAGCCCCACTGTAATATGCACTATATACATAACTGCAAGCTGACGCTTCGGATCGATGTTCCAGGCGTCGGCGCCGGTAAGCTTCAGAGCTTTTCGCCGTCATTTTCTGGAGCTACCGATTCGATATCTATAAAATCACATGTAAAATTATTGCGTTTTATTTCTACAGCTTTTAAAGCGAATTAGAAAAAATTCACAGGGAGTGAAATCTCTTGGAGAAGACATTTATTTTTGGAATTTCTAATCTATTTGAGATCAAGGATTTTGGCTTTATGAAGAGATAAAACTAGAACTAGGAGATATATCAAAGTCATAATTATTTGGTGATAAGTCATTCTTTTTACTATCGCTTTTCAGTACTCGATATTACTTGTCGTGTAAGATATATTGCTTTTATTACTAAAACTTTATTAGATATATATATTATTAGTTCTTTTTTTGTATATTATGTATTTATTCTCCTGAAGTTTATTTAATGAAAAGAGTAAATTATTTATTTTCATCTGCTTATACAGGCTGTCCCAGAATTACCGCACTACTTGCTAATGACAGATTCTTGAGATCATTTGGAAACGATTTTTCCTCAGCGAAAATGTCGAGAGAGGTCATTATTTTTTGCAAGTTACCAATTTTTTCCATCATATATCTTTGTAACTAAGCCTTAAATTAAAATTCTCTCACTCTATTAAAGTAAACTCTATCTGAAATTAACTAAAGAATGTAATTTTAATTCTCTATAAAGTTTAGTTTGCAAAAAGCCCTTCTTTTTGAGTCGCTTATAACACGAAAATTATTGATGTTTCGATATTTTCGTTGAGGAAAAATTGTCTCAAGAATAATCTCAAGAATCTGTCGTTAGCAGGTAGTGCGATAATTCTAGGACATCCTGTATATTCAAAAGCTATCTTAACACTTATTTTAATCCTAGATTTCTCACGAAAATTCTATAAAGAATCGCGTCATTCTATATTATATCGTATATTACGAAAACAGCACGATTACCGAATTCGCGAAAATACAAACGGGACAATATGGAGCAGCGAGCTGTGTGTAAACGTAGCTTCCTCTAGCTTTCGCACGTGTTCGTCCGATCCGATTTTGATGTGTCGCTAACAATGCACCGACCCCGTTGCATCGTCGCCCGCAACAGGGTCACGCCTTTGAACGAAATTATGGGATTTCGTCACGGGTCTTTCCAGACTTTCCCGATACTTATTACACGGATTCGACGCAGATATCCCTCCAACAGTTGCGACGAGAGGGTGACCGAACGCGAAAATCGACGTGTTAGATATTTGAGATATTACGGTCTAGCGTATTAAAAGTAATGTCTCGCAAATTAATAATAATTAAGTTGTTTAGAATTTATAAATTGTAAATTTATTGTAAATATAAGAAAAATTATAAATTTTGTAAATTATGTCAGCTTGAATCACACTTTTAAATTTTCGACGCATCAATTTGTATTCAATTCTGTTAAAGTGAAAAACGAGCTTTTCCAGATATTTTTTATTTATAGATTTTGTTAACTTCTGTGACGTCGCTTCGAAATAAGAGGCTTTATTAAAAGCTGCCAGAAATCTAGATTTTCCAGAATATCTGTTAGATTTCAAGGTATTTCATTGATGATTTTTTATGTTAGAGTTTTGGGGATTGTAACTTAATATTTTTCATTTCAAAAATATATATCGATATATAGCGGACATAAATCAATATTAATAAATTAAAATTCTGCTAAAGTAAAGCACTAATGTTCGTAGCTTTCCAATTTACAGATTCTTTCGGTACTTTATTTGGATATCAATTTATCTCAAGAGAAATCCCTTTAACACGAGAGATTTTTAGAAATTCAAACAAATATATTTTTATATTATGTTGTTTGTATTTTTTATATTTTATATTATATTTTTAGTTATTTGACAAACTGAGTTTTGACTTTCGCATTCTATTCGTGTCCATCTTTCATCTTTCGGTCAATATCTGCGAGATCAGTTCTCGTAACATCGGTGGGTCGTGTCGAAGCAAGCACCGCCCAACAAGGGTGAAAAGGGATGAAGAGGGTCCAATGTCACGATGGCATCGCGGCGCACGCGTTTCGCGGCGAACGGATTCCATGCATTCGGGAATCTCGGGGGCGGTTACCACCGGGGATGTCCGCGAAATTTCCGAAAATGCACCCTCTCATGCTCTCAGAAGAACGTGACGCTCGGGCCCCGAAACGTCGCAGGACGTCGTGGTCCAGGTGTGTGTGTGTGTGTGTGCGCGCGCGCGGACACATACTTTTTTTTAATTTTTTTCCATCCTCCACGAGTGAGCGAACCTGCTGGTGCATCTGCTTGCCGGTGGACAGAAAGCGGGATATGAGCTACACCGAACCGCTGTGGGAGATCAATGGAAATCAAGCACCAGTGAGTCCGCGGCGAATCTTGATATCGCGCGCGGTGTTTCCGATTTATTTGTGATAAAGAACGGGACCATACTCACGTACAATTATTATCAATAGAAATATATTGTATTTTACAGCGCAATATTTATTTATATCTTAAATTATTGAAAAAACATCGCCCGCGGTAACTAAAATTATTCATGTGATTATAAGTATCACCATTGCAAATCCATGCGTGATATACTTTACTAATTAACACGTTAACCGCCGAGATTAAAATCCGCTTTTACAGGCAACATGTCTTGTTACGAAATATATTTTTATTTAAAAACAAAAATAAAATTTCAGAAGATGTTTGTTCCTCAAGCTCTGGATGACGGTTAACATTAATTAATTTTAATATATGTAACATCAGAAAAAAATAACGATATTATATAAGTTTTATATATATATTTGATTAAGAGATATTCATGATATGCACATAAAGCTGAGGATTCTTAGATATTCAACGCACAAATGCGTCAAAAGACGTAAAAGTGTATAAAAAAATGTCCTAATGTATTAGACGCGCTATAGATATCTTTCAGATACCGGCTTTTGGATTTTTGCGTGGTTCGTGTTGCCTGGACCAACCGATTCTCTCAGATGAAATCTATTCGCGACAGGTAATCGCGGCGGAAATGTCGCAGTACGTCGGCGGTGATATCGCCAGCTACCCGATGTGGGATAGTTCCGTGTTGTATCAAGCACAGCCGTCTACCCATCCGCACGTGAACGAGCACGGATTGTATAGGCAACCCTGCGCCTTGTTGCACCAGAGGTAATCTTTTTTTTACACAAAAGTAAGCATGAATCTATTTATTTTTGATCAAAATGATACCGCTTTTCATCTCTGTCACGGATGTTTGAGTAGCATCCGAAAGGGTCGACAAATTATGGAGATATCTATGACACGATCGCTAATGATTGTTTATTTCATCGCATCGCGATGTCAAAAGACCGATTAACGAGAATTAAAGAATCATAAAAGTTAAAAAATATATAGGGTGTATCCATGGTGTCTATTCTCTGAAAAAACATGGGAAATCTAGAATTGTCATAGGGATTTCTTTTGTAACTGTGGAAAAAATTATGGAATTCTCATGGAATTTTATTAAGAGACTCATTGTCAAGAAAGTTTTTAAAAAATTCTCTCTTATAATTTTGCCCTTATATTGTAAGCAATCGGCAATCCGCCGATAAGCCAAGTTATGAATCGTGTTTAAAATATGTTATAAATACACACTATCTTTGATTATATATATTCAATGTCTTAACAAAATATTAAAGATGCAGTTTCTAAGATACATATATGATTTATTGTAATTTTTAGTGATAAAAAAATGAAAATATACAAATGAAAAATGTTCATTTTACGAAAGCTGTTTAGCTTTTTTTAGTACATTTGCAAATCTCACACTTGAAACTTAAATGACTCTGTATTTTTCCTTCATATGAGTAAAAAACATTAAAAAACGCATACAATAAAAAAAACTTATTTTAAAAGGCTGACCAACAAATCTTTAAAATATTCTCTTCATCTGGAATTTAGAATAAAAATACCTGGAAGATCAAAAAATGTGTAAGACATTTTTTTTTACAAGATTTGAGTAGACATCTTGTATATATCGCAAACTTGCGTTTCCAATCAAAATCGCTCATGGATACATAATAGATTCTCAGGACTGATTACTTTGCCTTTAAATGAATGTTTAAGGGAGTTACCTGGTTTGGAAGCGGTAAAAAACAACTATTTTTGTGAATTTTTTTTGGACAAACAGTTACTGCTATCAATTTCAGGTTTATACAGATATTTTATTCACACTTTATACGATATTCATGAATTTTTATATATAAAAATAATATGATATAGTTAAGGGTAAATGTTCAGATTAACTTACACCTCACGAATCGTTTTCATTTTCACATATATTATAAAGGGCACATTCCTAAGTAATAAGCACTTTGAATTTTGTGGCGCTCTCTTCTGGTTCCAGAGATATACAATTTTAAAGTTTCACAGTTTTAATGCTTTTTCTGTTATAAAATAAGAAAAAATAAAGTTTGTTTTTGTTGTATTTGTGTAAATCAGATGTGGAAAAAGTGTTTGTTGCCGCTCCTAATTCAAGCTCCTTGAATTTTTCCATTTTCCACGCGAAGCGAAGTTCAACGCAAACCTATGTGTTTAGTTTTTTAATAGTGGAGCACCTTCGCAGGGAGGGCGGAGGAGGCGGAATCCACGCATATACTTTTTAATGTGTAAATATAAAGTGGAAAGTTGTAAACCCCTGTGAAACCTTATTTCGCATTAAAAAGATTAAAAAGT